ATAATAATAATAATAATATTAATAATAATAATATTAATAATAATAATAATAATAATAATAATAATAATAATAATAATAATAATAATAATAATAATAATAATAATAATAACTAGAGCACATTCCGAGAGTGTACGTCCTCCGCCCGCATCATAATTCCCTCTGTATAAAATTCCCACGCATTTTCATTAAAAAAATGAAAGCAAAATATAGACTTTCGAACCGGGGCCTCTCGCTTATAAAGCGACGTCATATCAAACTAGACAACTGAATCTTTTAGAATAAGTGCGATCCAGGAGCCATTGAGAGCCTTCAAACAATGTACCATTCTAGAAAATTTCTTTATATTGATCAGTTTTTAAGGTATTTATATCTGGGACGTTCCATTTTAATGGTCTCTCATGCACACCCTACTCCGGAACATCACCCGAATTAAATAGGCTACTTTTTCTTTTGCTATGACGAACTATTCAAGAAAGGTTTTCAGATAGGCTACATCTATCATTTCTTTTTATATACCAAAGTATAGGAATCTCCCTTTTAATGGACCTCATATCCACCTTCTACTCCGGATTGTCATCAAAATTTAATCGTTTCTTCCTTGGAACATGACATCTAGAAAATCATTCAGAATCAGTTTTTGAGAAATTTAGGTCCGGGGCGTTAACACTTTAAATTACCCAAAATCCACACCTATAATCACCAAAATCTGTGTACTTCCTTCTAACGAACTCTTTCAGAAAGCATTCAGAAAAGTTCATAAGTTTTTGAGATATCTGGTCTCGAATATCTCAAAACTCTCGATCGTCACCAACATTTATCTATTTCTTCCGTGGACCATGAAAAATCATTCCAAAAAGTTTCTCTCAGATACGATGATGAGTTTTTGAGATATTTAGGCCTGCAAACAGTCTTTAGCATTTTAAATGACCCCTAAATCCGCACATAAATATGGATATTCTCCAACATTTAATTTTATTCGTGTAACTTTGTTTAAAACTCTTTCAGAAAGTTTCATTAGATCAGTTTTTGAGATATCTGGTCTGGGACATTTCTTTTTATAATGTCCTCATGTTCACACCCTATTCCGGATCGTCACCTCTGATTTATTTCTTCCTTAGACCATGAAAAACCATTCCAAAAAGTTCTTTCAGATACATTTTCCAGCCTAGAGATGTGATAAACTAATAATTTTTTATAGGGCCTTATGTTTTTATGTTCATTGTGTGTGCCATTATTTTATTTGAATTAGAAATTACTTAGATTAATATTGCTTTTGTTTTTAGGATATTATATGAATAAAGAAACTAATCTACGTAATTTAATTTGATTGACAATTTATGTTAGTAATCAGTCCCTAAAAATCGTGTTAGTCAATATTATTGGTAGCACACTGTTAAACTTGTATAAGTAATACAGTACTGGTAGTTGCTAAATACAACGAGTTCAGCCGAGGGGCGTGGCTTCGTTGTTGACGTCATGCATAATTTCAGCTATAGTTCGTCTTTCGTCCTCGACGCAGGCCCTGCCTTTTTCACACAGCATAGCAGAACACAGCAATTCTATGGTAAACCAATGTAAGAAAAAAATTTAAGTTGTCCCTGTGTAATTTTCTTTCCAAAATTAGGATCCCTGGAATATTATCAATTTATGGGGTCTACACAAAGTGAAATAATACTTAGGCTTAGTTAGTATTTTTAGGGTAGGTATTAGGCCGTAATCACAGAAAGAAAGGAAAACAATCCAATGTATGCCTGAGAATGGGGAGGGTTTGGGAGATGATATTTTTCTGAAAATAGGGAGCTCTGGATGGCCGGAAATGGCACTTAGCAGTGTGAAAGACATAGTTTGGCTTGGTGTTGGCCTATATTTAATTTGTTTCTTTTTGGTACGACTGCCCGACGAGCTCGTCTGGGGAGGTGGGGCGCTTTGACTTGTCCGATGGGGGTAGGGGCTCAGGCCCCTTCCCCACTCCCCGCCACATACTTTGGGTCCAATTGTCTGGAAATGGACTCGATGTCTTTTTTCTTAAAATCACAATTTACTATCACTATAATGTTTTTAGTGCAAGACACTGCATATTTGTTTCTGGGTCTTCCTATTCGCCTACCAATCAGAATGGACAAAAGTTGTCGGTGGTAGCGTGAAGCGCTTTTATGGAAACAGGCTTACCAAAAGCATAAACAGCCAACTTTTTTTAAAGGAAACTCGATGCTCAACAACTATGACGTTTGGAGAGAAAAAAAAATTGTTTTTGGTTAGTGACAAAATCGTGACTTGTTTTGATTGGAGAATGGTGGATATTTTTACCAAGAGTCCACATGTCTCTCTATTCACATCACCCCGTCAGTCCCCACGAAATATAAAAAGATGGAGAAAAATAGTGCAAAGATGAAAAGAGAGGAAAGAGAGAGAAAAAAGGGAAGTGCGTTCTTACCTCTCAATACTATCGATGATGCAAAAATTGTAGTCAGTCTTGTACATTTTTAGAAACTTAGTCGAAAGTCAATAGTCATGTCAATCCCCTGAGTGACCCTTATTCAATTAAAAGTAAATATAATATATAATACGAAGTAAACAAAACTTAAAACTAAAAATTCTAAAAGTAGTAAAAAACGACAAAGGAAAATGAATTAAATTTGAAAACTAATACATAAAAAAAAAAGATGTTCAGAATATCGAACATAGGCCCTACATACATTTCCCTCATCAATAACAAGTTACTCTTCCTCACGAGAACGAAAAAAAAAATAAATAAAAAAGCAAAACTAAACCCCTTATTAGCAGAAACAATATTCTAAGTACCCTTATTCCCTCCCCAAACTATGCATTTACCCCTTCCCCTTAAAAAAAACAAAACAAAACAAAAACAAAAAAATAGAGGTGAACTGTATAGCAGTATTATAAAGCATAGTTAGAGCATGGAATTCAAAATCTCGTTGCGGAATTTCCATGCTCTTTTGGTATATCTTTTGCAAAACTTGTCGAAGATATTTTCATACTCTGCTAAGGAGTAACGATGGACAATCCAAAATATGATGTAGTTTTAGGTCATCGTTTGCATTAATAAATTCATTATACAATTCTATATCGTCAAGTAATTCTATTTTTAATTTAGAAATTTCATCAATATGTATTGTAGGGCTGGGCAGACTAATGAGGAAATGTCCAGTATTCTCGTCTGAATTTAAATTGCATAGGGTACATTTTTCATTATTATTTGTGGACCAATTTGATGTTCTGGAATTTAATCGTAGCGTATTTGATCTAAGTTTTAATATCAATGCAACTCCCTAAAAAGTTCGTTTTATCAATAAGGTAATGTTGTATAACATTAAATGTAAATGTTGTTACTGTTATAACCTGCTAAAACTTGGATAATAATTGAGGGCAGTACAATTACTTCCTGTCTCTACACTGTGTATGAGCAAAGAGCAAAAACAGCGCTGCAGTATGTGTTTTGTGAGTCATGTCCGTCTTTAATCGTAAGCAATGTACTTCTGTGAATGACTAATTTATTGCTTATACGTCGTTACTGATTCCTCTGAGATGTTCAGTAAGTATTTTGAAGTAAATCACACCATATTTTCTGTAAATCATGCAGAGGTCTAGGCCTAGCCTACCTTTTTTTACACACCTGGGACCGCCCTCGGTTCCGGTTCTCCCACCCAGCCATGGAGGATGTACCCTTTTTAGAAGGGGATAAACAGGCGGTAAAAGAGGCAGATTTGGATAGGCAGATAGGCCTACGCCTAAAGTGCGTTGGTAACTGATGCTCTAGCATAGTATTTCCAATCAGTTACATTTTTCATCTATTAGTATTAGTTACATTTTCCATCTATTATAACAATAGGCGAGGTCTAATATCTTTAAAAAATAAGGGAAAATTATAATAAGGTCCGGGCCCACCACAGACAACAAGAGTAGGCTAGGCCTAGTTAGTATTTATATAAATAGGCCTAGGGCCTTTTATAATATAGCCTAGGCCCTAGGCCTAGGCCTAGTTAGTATATTATTAGTATTATTATTACTTTTGCTTGGTCTGAAGTTCAGTTATGCCTACTACTAGCTGATAGTGGCGGCAATACAGTAGGTCTAGGGCCCGGCCTGCAGTAGGCCTAGTGATTAATATACTGTTGATCATTTACCATCATCACTCAGTAGGCCTTGCTCTACTCTCTAGGCCATCTTCTATTTTAATTCATAAAAAATAATGATAATGTACCGGCAGTCTACAAATGTTACATTAATGATATACTGAGGATGATCATTGATCTTTTTCAACACGTCATACAAATCTCATACTATATAATGCAAATTACCAGTTACATAGTTGTTTTCATGTTGTATACCCATTGATGTGGTGTTATAAAAATAGAATAGTTTATTACAGAAAAATTTACAGACAATGAGTTATTCTGATATCTAGACTTAAATTATATTTTTATTTACTTTTCAGATACTACAATAGTTGCTTAATAGAAGCACTGAACTTAGATTTGGGCTTGCTCAAGTGATTTTTGTCATATCGCAGACCATTTTTGTAGATGGAAGGGAAGTCAAGGAAAGGTGAGTATTATAAGTTTGTTTTGGCTGTAAATACATAGAATATAATGTTCAATTTCAATCCAAATCTGAATTCAATGCATACTTTTTCTATTCAGGTAGAAATCTACCGAAGTTTAAAAAAGCTGTACCAGAAGAGGAGCAGGGGAAGTAAGATTCTGTTTATTATTATACCAGTTTTAAAGCCAGGCTCTGTAGGGACCTCTGGATTGTTGACCGTATTATATTCTTGCATAAAAGACAAGGCTTAAAATAGCAAATTAAACCTTGATCAAACCTAGATTTTACATACGGTGTGGGGCCAAATGGTGGATGTAAATTATTTCATAAAATCAAGGTCGGGCCAAATTGATACATGCTTTGTACCTACGATAGGTGACAAGTGTAAAGCCATGCCAAGTGTAAACCTTGGACTTGTATGGCAATTTGAAGGCTAATGTACAGTAGGTCCCAGTGAATAGTATCGAAAGGATTTTTGTATGTCATCTGACATACAAAAATTTTCTCTGAATCGGGAGTCTTCTCTTATGCTCATCCCCTTATACGCAGGAATATACGGTAGTCCATCCAGGGACAACTTTGAGACATTGCCTACCAATGTGATACTTAACATGATTTGTACAATTTTTTATAATTCTTTTACAGGCCTGCCAGGCCTGATGTTAGCGAAACCGTTAAATCTAGCATCACTATTGATGGGACCAACTACCAGCTTAACGCAAGTGACCTCAAATTTATCTGTAACCTGGGACACGGTAACTATGGTGTCGTCGACAAAATGGAGCACCAGGAAACTGGTAAACATATGGCAGTAAAGGTTAGCATATAATTGTATGCATTTATAATTAGTATACAGTACTACAGTGTTGCATCACGATAACACGTGATACTACCCAAAATGCTTTTAACCAACGCCATTTTCTTCACTGACAAACCATTTATCCCAATTTCTAACGTAATTATTGTAACGTAATTGTATCTTAATATTTCTTTGTAAAAATTGATGATTAAATATGTGTTCGATAACTAATATAATGCAAGCTTTTTGTGTTTTTAGTACATTTTGATGGTAAATTATTAGGTTTTAAATTGCCTATTCCAAAAAGCCTATTCTAAACCATTAACTTTATGAAGTCTCTATACAGATTTATTTATTTATTATTTGAGACATGCCTTTCTAAAACCACCGCAAGCATTATATATATTATTACTTTGCCATGCAAAACCTTATACTGTACATGCTTGCTATAACGCCCTATAAATAAAAACACACACGAACACTATTTATACTAACTTTGGAGTAAAGTTGAATAGCTTGGTGGTTAAGATGCTTGCCTTCCAATCCCATGGTTCTAGGTTCAATTCCTGTCACTATTAATATAAATGCCTCCCTTTAATAAATGCCCCGGGTTGTTTATTTCTTCCTCAAATAAACGCCCCCTTAATGACTGCAAACAAAACTAATGGAAGCAACGTCATTCTCAACACATTCTATTAATGTTGTACTCCAGTAGAATTGCAATTTTTCTAACTTAGTTGGGATCAATTAGTGTTTGTTTGATTATATACATATACCATTTTACACCCCCAAAAAAATAAATGCCTCCCTCGAATATACGGCTCCCTCAAATAATCTCCTGAAAAACCCTTCCGCTGCTTCAAAGCTCTAGAATGAACTTCCAATCTACATTCGGGAGTCTTCCTCACACTGTTTTCAAGCAGAGCCTTAAAACACACCTTTTCCTTTCCTTTTAAATTAATTTCTTTCCTGTTATTTTCACTTTTGTTGTTAGGAAAGGCTAGGCCAGATGCCAACACTATTCCTGTGAGTCATGTACCAGCTAACCACTGCTTGTCGGTGGTCTCAAATTGCAGGTGAACAGCGCGATAATGTTGGTTCCTTCTGTTTCGGTTATTTATTTTAGCATGGTTAGCCTGGATGATCTAGAATAGATTTTGCTTTTTTGTTTTCTGTACGGTGCATAGAGACCACGTATCATGCACTACATAAGTTGCAAACCATTAACATTTCCATAACAATAAAAGTGGTAATTGTATCTTCCAGCGTATAAGAGCGCAAGTAAGTTCTGATGAAGACAAACGCTTATTGATGGATCTAGACGTCACAATGCGTACGACAGAATGTGTTTACACAGTGCAATTCTTTGGATCATTATTTCAAGAGGTAAGATCTATAAACAGACATTGTTGATAGTCCTTGTTATCTGATAGAGGGCAGTGTCTATAATACGGTAGGGGGTAGTATCTATAACATGATAGAGAATAGTGTCTATAACATGATAGAGGGCAGTGTCTATAACATGATAGAAGATAGAATTTGCATATCATCTATAGTATTACATGATAGATTCTTGAAATGTAGTTGGATTTTCTATTGTATGAAAAAATATAATTTAGTCTTTTGTCTCTAGATTAATTTTTTCATTCAGTTGACTGATTTTATTGCAGGGAGATGTGTGGATATGCATGGAGTTGATGGATGAATCACTTGATAAGTTCATCAAAAAGGTCATAGAAAAGGGTCAACTTATACCAGAAAATATTCTTGGCAGATTGGCTTATGTGGTGAGTTTCAGATGAATGGTGACTGGTCAGTAATCATGTATTTTTATAGCGCCTTCCACAGTAGAAACCGCCTAGGGCTCTTTAGCCACTAAGAAACTAAAATTTAATTGAACAGGCTTGAACGCGACAGGGAGGAGGAAGGTGCATACCCCTGATTTTGAGATAGCGTCGCCTCACTATCATGTACATGCTGGTACCTTGGCATCAGTGTGTTGGGGTCCTTTAACTTCCACTTAGGATAAGCCTGCGCGGCTCTACTGCTTGCATTGTGCCTTTGATAAATTTTGAATTGGTGCTATATAAATATTGGTTATTACTATTATTATTATTATTGTTATTATCATTATTATTATTATTTTTATTATAATATATAATATATCACTTTATTTCAAAAATCAAATAAAATTAATAACATATGGTGGCCAAAGGCCAAATTGCATGTTATTTACAAAAGAGATAATTACAATAATTATTATAATTTTTAAATATTTAAAATTCATAATTATTGTATTTCATAATTATTATTTATAATACACAATATAATTATTATTTTAAATATAAAATAAATAATTATTCATTATTATTATTTTATTTTTGAGATTGCAATAAAAGTTGCACATATTACATGACAAATTTTTGTAACCTTTCAGGTCGTTAGTGCTCTCAACTTTCTAAAATCCAAGTTGAACGTTATCCATCGTGATGTGAAGCCTTCTAACATTTTAATCAATCGTACCGGCCAAATAAAGTTATGTGACTTCGGCATTAGTGGGAAACTGGTAGATTCTATTGCAAAGACCAAAGATGCTGGAAGCAGACCCTACATGGCTGTGAGTAAATTCACAAATTATTTTTAAAATTCCTGTACAGTGTTGTTGTTATTATTTTCAGTGCAACATCTATAAGTGTGTGTAAAGCAAATGAAATACAGTATATATTGATGTAAAATATTCTATACTCTATTGTTATTTAAGTTACATAATTTGGCCTTGCCCTTAAACTCCATTCTTTTCTGGTAGTTGTAAGATTAGCCAAGTTGTATAATAGTTGTGTATTTCATCCAGGTAAGTACTCAGTATTTTCAGTAAGATGAGTACTAAATTTCTTATTCTTTTTTTCCAGCCTGAGCGTATTGATCCTGAGATGATGAGCGATAAAGGATATGATGTTAAGTCGGACATTTGGAGTCTTGGAATAACAATGGTAAAAAGGAGTGTTTTTTTTTTTTTTCGCTTTTGGAAAAGTAGACTTCTTCAAATCGAGCCAGTACATAAGTTATATGAGAAAATGTTTGGTGCTAATTTGTGCAATTTTGTATCGTTCATGTAATGGAGTGGGACATGATATTGCGCAGTATTTATTTAATTAATTTATTATTTATTATTTTTCTATATGTTGGGTACCTCTTCAGTAAAATGTTACTTTTCTACCAGAGGGTCCAGCAGTGTTATAAACAGTGTTGTACTGTAGACTACTACTAATGATAATAGATACATGGATGGGTGTTTATATGAGTCGATAGATATCAAGAAGTAAAATTGTTAAAATCTTCTGTTTCAGATTGAGCTGGCGACTGGGGTATTCCCATATGCAAAATGGCAAACACCTTTTGCACAACTTAAACAAGTCGTTAAGGAACCTTCACCTAAGCTACCAGATGGAAAATTCTCAGATGATTTGGTACAATTTATTGATCTGTGGTAAGTTATATTGATTTGGGTTACATTTTTAGTTCTTTAAAATTCCTGTACAGTGTTGTTGTTATTATTTTCAGTGCAACATCTATAAGTGTGTGTAAAGCAAATGAAATACAGTATATATTGATGTAAAATATTCTATACTCTATTGTTATTTAAGTTACATAATTTGGCCTTGCCCTCAAACTCCATTCTTTTCTGGTAGTTGTAAGATTAGCCAAGTTGTATAATAGTTGTGTATTTCATCCAGGTAAGTACTCAGTATTTTCAGTAAGATGAGTACTAAATTTCTTATTCTTTTTTTCCAGCCTGAGCGTATTGATCCTGAGATGATGAGCGATAAAGGATATGATGTTAAGTCGGACATTTGGAGTCTTGGAATAACAATGGTAAAAAGGAGTGTTTTTTTTTTTTTTTTTGTTCGCTTTTGGAAAAGTAGACTTCTTTAAATCGAGCCAGTACATAATTTATATCAGAAAATGTTTGGTGCTAATTTGTGCAATTTTGTATCGTTCATGTAATGGAGTGGGACATGATATTGCGCAGTATTTATTTAATTAATTTATTATTTATTATTTTTCTATATGTTGGGTACCTCTTCAGTAAAATGTTACTTTTCTACCAGAGGGTCCAGCAGTGTTATAAACAGTGTTGTACTGTAGACTACTACTAATGATAATAGATACATGGATGGGTGTTTATATGAGTCGATAGATATCAAGAAGTAAAATTGTTAAAATCTTCTGTTTCAGATTGAGCTGGCGACTGGGGTATTCCCATATGCAAAATGGCAAACGCCTTTTGCACAACTTAAACAAGTTGTGAAGGAACCTTCACCTAAGCTACCAGATGGAAAATTCTCAGATGATTTGGTACAATTTATTGATCTGTGGTAAGTTATATTGATTTGGGTTACATTTTTAGTTCCTTTGTGACCTTACAGGACTTTGATATATCTTAATTAATAATATTTCTTCACTATTCATCTCATTTTATCTACAGCTTAAAAAAAGATCATAAAGAGAGACCAAGATATGAAAGTCTATTAGTAAGTATACACTTCCACATATTATTAATAAACAAAAGGTGTTCTTGATTTTGGTTTTCAAGAACTAATTTATTTTGTTGACTCTTTGTTGATACAATTATCTTTAATGGGCAATTGTTATGTTTTATTTATTTCAAACCATGTTACAAGAAGGTGACCCATCCAGTATAGGGGCTAATTAGTGACCCTCTTAAACTAACTAATCATTAATGTTCAGTACAATTCTAAGCTGTTCTGGATCTCTTTCCTTTTCTTCCTCCTTCTTGTATCTTATTGTAAGACCAAACATTTTAAACATTTATTTACTTTATTTTAATATTATTAGGCCAAGGCTAGCCTATACAACATTTAAGCCAACCATTGTTCACTTTATAATGCTTACACTACAAAACTGTTCATATTACTTTATACATTAAGCCTATATTAAGTTGAATAAACAATTTAAACATGGCTGTAATAATAGTATTGTATACTTTAACAATACATTAAATCTAAAATAAATTATATATATATATAATATTAAGTATATATATATATATATAATATTAAGTAGTTTCACTAATATAAGATGAACATTTTTCAACCTTTTAATCAATTTTAAATAGAGTTGTTGTTTAGACCTAGGCTACTATAGCTAACGTCAGGTACGCTTTTGTCTATTAAAAGAAAGCCTCTTCTATGAATGGAATGATCTGATGGGAGCACGAACTACTGTAGACCAGACCCAGTACCATTACGATTTTTATTAGTGCGGGAACTTTGCTCCTGATCAATCTTTTCACCTCTAAACACAAAAATCATATATTTCAACAGCGTATGAAATTGTATTGGACTTAATAAGATGATGATTAATTCTCATTATGATTTGTAGGTCTACATTCACTAGTCATTAAATTATACCTAATTAACAACAGACCGTCATAATTAAGTTGAACTATTGTTTTTATTTTGTTGCAGAAACTTAACTTCATTGAGATGCACAAGGGGTTGGAGGAAGCCACTGTAGGAGAGTACGTCATTTCCATCCTAGATTCATGAGCCTAGCTAACTCTTGAACTATACATCAAAATAAAAAATAATAATCAGGTATTATAAATATCTTGAATGCAAAATTCCTGAGTTATATTTTTTTGCATTTAATTTCTGGAATATAAAGTGAAAGATATGGTGTAAATTCCAAATGAATTGCAAGTGAAAAGTAAGGTTAATTTATAGCATACATGATATCTCTTTCTATACCATTAATATTCTAAAAAATAAAATAACGCTATTTTTGAAGTAATTGTAAAAGGTCGGTAGAATGTCTTAGAAAACTATGTTTACACATGATTGGATGCTGTTGAGTAATAAATCAGTGTATCTATAAACTGGAACAGGTGTGAAAGTGAAGGTTATATACCAGGCCTACATTCATAAATACAGTCAAACTGTAAACATTAGGTTGCCTAGAAAGTTGGTAAAAATACATATCAAATAATTTACGCCAGAGTATATTAAGCCGGTTTTACACTAAGTGAATTTATTCGCACAAATCAAAATCATTGGTTCATGCGCATGCATATTCACATTTCTATCAGTTTTTCACTTTAGCACAATCAGTAGTTTGAATTGTTTCTACTTTTTGCGAAGTGAAAAAATGGGCAACCAATAAGAGCTCAGGAAGAAAAACAACGCTTTCGATTTACCTAGTGTAAAACCAGCGTGAAATTAAGTACTTTAAAAAGCTTGCTAGATTAGACATCATGTTTTAAGGTCAACATAGTGGACAGTACCAGTATAATTACAAGTTCGGCCCACTCCCAATTCTAATCGCTTTTTTATAGAATGGTAATTAAATTTAATATTAATTATGTAAAAAAAATGATTAATTCTGTGGTAAAAAGATTACTTTAAAGGATTTATGCTGTTATTGAACACATCAGTGCTAGAGAGCTAAGAAGTAGAATAGTATGGAGGTTGTTTTAGGCTTTAAAATAATCATGAAAAACATTTTTGAAAATACTCTTATCTGTTCATTAACTCATCATTTTTATAAGCATTGATTTCATTAAAAATGGCCAAGGATTTAATAAACTCTCTCATTAATCCCTTTAAGATTAGGTCACTGACTTCTACATAGGTCGGTGTATGATCACTTAACTTGTGTGTGATGACCCCCAACTGAGATTAATTTTCTTAAAAGCATGCTTAGATTAGAAATGTTTTCTTACAACAAAGGTAATAAAATAAATAATAAAATAAATAATTTAAAAAAAAACCTCTCAAAAATTCAATTAAAAAATTTATTTTGCCATTTAACACGTTCACTGCCATAGACTAAAATCATTGTCTTGCTGGGTGTTGCAGATAGGAGTATAACTGAGTTTGTACTTATAGGCTGTTCTTTTGTATTGTATATTTATGATGCTAGACTCTCAGGAAGGGCTGTAATAATCTAAAACTATATTTGGGATTTTTGTTGAGTTTATTACCTATAACCAAAGATCTTAAATTACAAGAAAGTGCAAAAAACTTGCATTGAAAATTGTTTTTGCGAGAGGGTGCCATACATTGTTACAGAATTTTCACGCAGAAATCGTGGAGAATGCTATCTTGTAAATGTAAGATCTTTGCTATAGCAGGGGATATTTGTATTGGTGGTGCACTTCAAATATTATTGCAGCAAACGGAGTATGACAGTGACCGTGTTAAAAGAATCACATTAGTTGTTAGCTTCCAATAAGATAACTAATCATTTTTTTAAAACTGATTTACTTTTCATTACAAAGATGTTTACACTGAATACCAGACAATTTGCATTGTTTGGTAACATGGAATTTTATTTTATTGTCTATAAGTTATCCAACACAGACAGTATATCCTTAAGCTCTCTGTTGACACCAATGGTTTCTGTGACTTTTGCCCATATATGGGTGTTATATGACATCATCATGCCTATATATGGACAAATATATTTTTGTCACATACTTCATAGTGTGGATATAGCATTAAATATGTTTATTGACTTTTGTATCACAGAATTTTTAATTATTCAGTATTTGTTAAAAAATGTATGTAAACTGGTAGTTAGGCAGTTATGAGTTGGCACGTTTGATGACAATACAAAACCAAATAAATCTAGGGACCTTCAAGTTTCTGAAATTAGAAACAAGTCGAATGATAATTTGTATATTCATTGAAATGCAACAAACTACACTCTTATCATATTTGGATTAAATTTCAGTATTTAGGATACTTTTTTGTGATTTCTGTGTGTATTATTAACCCAGCAAACACAATGTTCGCAAACGTTGTGGCTTGTTATGTCCCAAAATAACATTCAAACATTAAAATAGGTTATCAGTACGTACTTATGGTTCTACAATATAAGTTTTTAATACCAAACTGTAATGTTCATAAAACGTAACATTGTTTAGCTGGGAGGGCTATTCAAAAATGTTTTGATAGTTCCCCTCCCTAACGACACAATTTTTACTGATGATACGTTTATAATAATGATCCGTTCAGACTGCAGCTGACAATCAGCAGACGATGATGCACCATAAAACGTTCACAGGGAGTAGAGTTGGATTTGCCGGCCGACAGTAGTACAACGCAGGAAGTGACTGGCTTTAGATTTAAATATGCAGTATACGCAAAACACTAGATGGTATACACAAACTGCCATTAAAATTTGTAACCGTAGCACTCATTCATACTTTTTCGATTATGCACAATACTGCCGCTCATTTTAACGAGTTGTACTGTGTTTGCATTGAACTATTGCACTCGGATGACAACAGCCAGGCTAAAAGTATTTCAGTTACTGGTACCATGTGACAAACAGACAAATAATAATGAAATTAGAAATAAAAAAACAGATACAATATTTCTACCATTTATTTTCAATGTTTATGGATTATTCCATTATCCAGACTAATAGCAAACACAATGATGACTGCAGAAAGTGCATTTAAATACATTAGTATGCATATCATATATCCAAGGTTCAAACACAAAAAATTTCATAATTTTTCTGTAACCAATTCAAAGGTCATGATCCAGCCCTGACTTTTCAATGACACTGAACACACTTAAATGATTTTCCATAACTTGGAATGATTTATGATTTTCAAAGATGCGTATGAACCCTGAACATCACAAAAATATGCATACTTAACAGGTTATTTGTGGTAATGTAGGTTGTAATATTTGTAAAAAATGTTTAGGGAATACATTGATTACTAGAGGCAATTTAAATGAATTGCCTGCTACACGTTTGCTTTAGCTCAAAACTCTATTTCGCATAAATTTGTTAACATATTTTGATGGTTCATTCAATTTCTTTTCAGTTCAGCTGTTTCTTGAAAAAAATTTGTACACAGTGCAAATTCGGCCAAGTGCAGCAAGAATGACCAAACATGTTCATTACAGTCTTGCGAAGCAAACTTCACTGTGAAATTAAATATAAAAATAAAGTATACAAATAATTTGGACATGCTCTTTAGAGAATAGCATTATTAGTATTATATAAGTATTATAATTTACTGACAATTTCAATAAATGTACATTATATTAAAAAAAATCAAACATACAATGTACACTTTGTTTAATAAATTCCGTAAAAATTATACTTTACAGATATCCAAAGATATTGACCATCAAAAACTGTTTTCGTCAAAGTCTGTAGTTTCAAGCAAGCAGAATTTGGTAATATAAAGATGCACCAATAAACCTATTATTGGTGTTTACAATTTTCATGAAAATACTTACCCAAAATTTACAATTACACAGTGGAAAAAAACAGAAAAAAAATAGGTAGCACCAACAGATATTATTATAATATTATTATTATAAAAACCTGAACGGCATTTGAAAATAGCATAATAAAATATGAATGCTTTCATTACATTTCACTTGTTGACTTTTTACAGAGGTAAGAAGTATTTGTTACTATACATGATACAAACTTCCAAAAATAAAGTAATTATATAACAAATTTAAGAAAATGAAAGAAAACTTATATAGAAAAATTGAAAGACACATACACACATTCTCCACTGAAAATTAAATGAAAAAACAAGAATCAAAATAACTCGTGTGGTATTAAAAGTATTGAGTATCTTAAATAAATCTAAAAATATCAAAACATGATATTTGTATTCACTGTATCATTTAAGATATATCCTGTAAATTTTGAATAACCTCCTGTTGTTTTCACAAAATTAGTAATTATAGTCGTACTAAAATTAGGATATTTTCTACCACCCAACATACAGTATTTTTTCTGTTTAGACCAATTTACCCATAAATCACTTCCTGTAGCACAAGTAGAACACTACTTTCTTGTAATTTTGTTGCTTTAGCTATCCTCTCCGTAAGAGTATATGTGGAAAGGCAATATGCAAATTACAATCTGCTTGGCAGCTAATCACAGACAATATGCAAATGAGGCAATGTTTTGAACATTGATAGCTATACCTACCTAAAAAATTCACATACAGAACACTAATTAAAAATGGGCAGGTTTGCTACACATGTGCATGCTTTTTACACATGAGCAAACTTGAAACACATGAGCAAAAGCTTGCTACACATGAGCAAGCTCCCTGCACATGAACAAGATTGCTAAACTTGAGCAAGCTCCCTATACATGAGCAATCTTGATATACATGAGAAACTTGTAGCAAATGAGCAAGCTTGCTACACACAAGCAAGTTTGCAGGACCAGAATAAATGTGCCATATTTTTTTAAATGAATATGACTGCCTTACATGCAATCCTTCTGTACATTAACAAGTTTGCCATTGAGCTTGCCACACTTGTGCAGCCTGGTACCTACAAGCAAGTAAACCATAAATAAAATTTGAATCTTCACTTTTATCTACATACAGACACAAGTTTATTGTACAACTGCTGTAAAACATTAACAATGATATTCCAATTGATTTTTATTTATTTTTTTTTTCTATCAAACACAGTTATGTAAAAATTCTAATATATATATATAGATAGGGCATCTCTTAATCTATTTTCTTCATCTATCAGCGGATCTACAGATTTAAAAAAGGACTTTGCAACATAGTTTGACTTGGTCTTTGCTTAATAACTAATTAACCGTAAAAATTGATAAAATATAGAATACACTGAATTAATCATAAGAATCCTACTTAGACTAAATCTACTATTGACCTTGATCAGTACACTGTTGACCTAGTCAAGTATTTCAATCAACACTTTGATCTCTCTTTATTCTGCAATTTACAGAAATACTTCAAAGTCAAAATGTGTCCCAAACACTTCCGGGTAGTTCCAAAATCAAGTTCACACTCATGATACGCAGTATGGCTATCAAGTACTTAATTTAATCTATAAGTAAATAATTGACATTCTAAAGAAAAAAGCTACTAATAGATCAATGCACGCTGCATCGTTCCGTCTCCCTGGCCCAAATGCTGTATATAACTATTTGTGTTGTTTCTAGCTTGGTCGGTTACTAATTCCACACTGGATCGTCTAGTCACAGAGATATTGTACTGAAAAAGGGTATAAATATTGTAATCCATGCATTATCAGAATGTGTTACAGGCACTTTGAATATGAATTCACAACTTCTTTTTAATTGACCCAAATTTAGACAAAAAAAAAAATGTTATCACATACTGTTCTTTAAATCACCCAATTTAAAAAACATATCAATATTATTCCTAATAACTGATGATTTTTCTTTTATATCAAACCAATTTTTTAAAGAAATACATACTATTTTTTAATGTCATATTCCTTTAAGATTTTTTTTTGTAATTACTACATGTAAGAAAATATCTAAAATAAATAGCGCCCTCATATGATGACAAACAGGTATATCATTTGTATAAATTTTGTCCCAGGTTTATAATCCGTATATATATATATATTATTTTCCCTTAATGACATCATCAACTAGATTTCAATTTTAAATAATGTAATAATTAATATTCTAGTAAACCATGTGATGTTTAAATGAAAGTAAAAACTTATTACATAATCTTGTTAATATAATTAGTAATATATATTTATATATAAAAATAATACATTCATAATTCATAACATTTTTATTATCAATATTCATCCTAAACACAGTTATTAGCTTTACAACATGTCTACAATGGTAGTGAGTATAGTTTCTATTCATGCTTAACAAAGCTAATTATAGTATATTTCTATTCTGATGCAGGCAACCCAATCTCTATTGAGATAAATGGAGATGGGGTAATACTTACAGAAACATCTCCTACCTGCATCAATACAGAAATTACACACTTTGCTACACACTATGCGGATGATGTGCTACAAAACATGACACTGTGATATAACAATATTAAAGCAATACAATGAACATACACACATATGAAGGAGAGACATAGTATATACAAGGGGTTAAGTTTTACAAAAAAGGGTTTCAATTTGACCCCCTTAAAACAGTGACTACATTGTCCTTTGACATATAATGAAAGCCATATAAATGAATCTAAAAATTTGATCCATTTAAAATATCCACACTGGATATAACAGTGTCATTTACAGTTTTATCCTTTGCATTTGGCAAATCATTAATTAAATTTTTTTTTGACGAATTAAATCTATTGGTGAATTTCTTCATGATAAGTCTTCAGACCTGAAGCTGATAAAGTTTTGAAAACTAATCCAAGTTCGATCCTCGGCAGAATTTTCAATCCATATATGAGTGGTCAGCCAGTACAGCGCCCTCAACCAGATTCCTGTAGCGCTTGATTTCGAGAACGACCAGCCATTGCCAAGGTATACTGTAATGGCAAAATATGTAAAAGTACCAATCACCAGACAAGCTAGTAAAGGATAGGTAACAACCAATGGTGGATAGAACAAGGTCAATGATTGGCTCAAAGGTTTAGGGGAGAAGAAATGATAACTGATAGAACAAGGTTACTGATTGGCTTTTAATGTTTATGGGGAAAAAAATCAATGAAGGATAGAACAAAGTTACTGATTGGCTTTAAAGTTTTAGATATGTGGTTTGGTGGTCAAGTGCCCATCTTTTAATCTTAAATTTCTGGGTTCAATCCTGAGAAAAAATGTTAAGACTTTTTTCAGTCCCTGGCCCTATGTTCAGCTTCCCACTTCACACCCCTTGCCCAGTATAGAGCATTGAGAATTCTAAGATCAGATTGCCACCCCAAAACCTCAAAAGGATATGTGGTTATAGAGCATATGGGGGTGCTAAAACTATCCATTCACCAAGCCTCACTTAAATTAAAGATTGGTTATAGAGCATTAAGGGTCTTAAATGATCAGCTCTCCACTTTCACTACTAAGCCTCATAAATTGATTTGTTTATAAACATTTGAGGGCTCCAAATAATCAGCTCTATACTGCCCAAGCTTCACAAAAAGACTTGGTTATATATATGTATAGAATTCAGGGTCCGACGATCAGCTCTCCACTCAACAAGTTATTATAGAACATCAAGGCATTAGTTCTACTTGATATGGCACACCTTCAAGAATGATGGTTAAGTAAACATTACTGTAATTATGCCCACACCCATTGTATAACAGGATAATAATGGATAATTGTGGTAAAGATTATTGGTTTAGCTATTTCTATTGATAAGATACCGGTATGTTTCCTCATGAAAAAAAGAAGTCTTATTGTAACAGTGTTTAACTTTTGATCGCAACACAAAATATATATTGTTAATATATGGACAGGAAAATATAATACATACTCCAAGTATTGAAATACATGCCATCGTGTTGGGATTCAACGTTTTATCATCATCAAGAAATATATGGATAGATGCTATTCTTTTTGAACATAAGATTTCAGTTTCACTTTTGCTGGCAAAAGAAGTTTTGTATATATTAACTTCAAACAAAATAGTTTTGATTGAAAATATAAAAAGTCTGCCTATTTTGTTGTAATTTATTAATTGGGAATAAAAATAAGCTGTGTATTAAAATGCTCTATTAACCAAGTCTCATTATGAAGGTCAAGGAGAGGGGTTGTGTGAAGTGGTGGTAGAATATGAAACCAGAATAATGGATTTGAGAGATGAGCACATCAAACTTCCAGTGTCTACAACTATGGCTCTACTCATTTAACACCCCCTCCCCACCCACCAATACATATATAGGTATAAAAAACATTAACTACATTTGATCAAACATTATTTAGTCATCATTATTATCATTACTTGTATCTAACATATTTAATTATCGAAAAAATAAAAAAAATAAAAGAATTTCACTAGGGTTATTATGAGAATACAAACATACAGTATAATGTTATACAATATAATAGTTAACATTAGTTATTACAATCTATGATGTGATGCACAAACGAATTTGGGACTATGTGATACAGAGATATCATGTATTCTATCTAGTGTTAGTGGAACTAGATCCTAAAGGAAAGTACATACTCCAAGTATTGAAATACATGCCATCGTGTTGGGATTCAACGTTTTATCATCATCAAGAAATATATGGATAGATGCTATTCTTTTTGAACATAAGATTTCAGTTTCACTTTTGCTGGCAAAAGAAGTTTTGTATATATTAACTTCAAACAAAATAGTTTTGATTGAAAATATAAAAAGTCTGCCTATTTTGTTGTAATTTATTAATTGGGAATAAAAATAAGCTGTGTATTAAAATGCTCTATTAACCAAGTCTCATTATGAAGGTCAAGGAGAGGGGTTGTGTGAAGTGGTGGTAGAATATGAAACCAGAATAATGGATTTGAGAGATGAGCACATCAAACTTCCAGTGTCTACAACTATGGCTCTACTCATTTAACACCCCCTCCCCACCCACCAATACATATATAGGTATAAAAAACATTAACTACATTTGATCAAACATTATTTAGTCATCATTATTATCATTACTTGTATCTAACATATTTAATTATCGAAAAAATAAAAAAAATAAAAGAATTTCACTAGGGTTATTATGAGAATACAAACATACAGTATAATGTTATACAATATAATAGTTAACATTAGTTATTACAATCTATGATGTGATGCACAAACGAATTTGGGACTATGTGATACAGAGATATCATGTATTCTATCTAGTGTTAGTGGAACTAGATCCTAAAGGAAAGGGACTTTCCAAAACGAAACAAAACCTGGATTTTCTAGAAATAAATCCAGAATTTTAAAGGTCAGAGGGTGTCAATTGTAAAAAGAAGATTTTTTTTTTCCCCTTTTTTGTTAGGACTATAATATAACATTTCTGTATTAGTACAGATCCTATTTTTTATTGGATCTGTGGTATTAGTAAATATATCTGCACATGAAATCTCCCATGGTCTAATTTATATAGTGGCCATTTTTTATTATTATGTATTTGTTTACTTTTTTCATATGTGATGCAACATTAAGCACAGGACTTGCCAATTACAGGATGGAATGATGGTCTATACTAAATCTCATTAAGAGGCTTAAAGAGCAAATAAGTCCTGATAAAAAATCTTTCTGCCACAGGATTTGAACCCGGAACCTGGGATTGGAAGCTAGCACTTAACTACCAAGCAACAATCTATTCCCAGTTTATTTAATGTAAATATCTCAGTATACTTGTATCAATGGACAGAGGTACAGATTCAGGAATTTGAAATAGAGGGGGCCCAGGGAGGGAATTTTACAGATGGATGGTCTTTACTACCTCAGTCCCACCATGGTTGGGACTAGGGTAAGAAAATTTATGATTATGGCACCTCTAGAAGGCCGGAAATGGCACTCTCAGACTCATAATTTAAATAATTTTCTTTTTTTCTCTCCATTTTTTGAAAAAATTGGCCCGGCCCCGCTTGAATTCGCCACTGATATACATTTCACATGCATGTGAAAAAATATGGATATTAGGCTATAAACAATGTCATTGATATTGTAAATTGAAATTTGTTTTCAATAAACCACCACAATAATATTGACAATGTCATTGATAATCTGCTCGTGTATGAAATATGTGTTGTACTGTAGGCGTACTACCAGTATAATGACATTTCACCATGGATCCTTATCTCATCACTGATTTCAAATGTAGATTGTAAAACCAGCACAATAGTCTACTATTGGTGCTATATGATGCGGTGATGAGAACGTGAGAAAATCAGAATAATGATTGATGGTGGTGGATAATAAACTTTTAAAAAACCTTCCTTGCTATGAAAAACAGAGACTATTATCAGGTCAACTATATAATTAAAGACAGTGATGTCAAAAATTCTATAAAAATGTAAAATACTATTATTAATCAATGATATTAATTACAATTACAATGCACATAATATTTAATAATGGTAAAAGGTTATACCAATTATAATAATTATTCATTTTAATAATTGATAATACTGTAATATTATATATTAATATATTAACTGATAGTCAGTTAGGAAACTATAATGATGTATAATAAAGAATTGTTTAATGAAGACAAATACCGTACATTAATTATTGAAATAAAAAATATGCTAATATTATTTAAGAACCCAAACTATTAACATTAAGACAAAAACTGTAAATTTTGCAATCCATCCAAGTAACTTTAGGTAATAGACCCAATGAGTTGTTAGGCATAACCAGAAACGGCCATGTTGGTCCACCATTGGTTGAAGTAAATAGAAACAGAAACAAAGCAGAATTTGGCAGGAAAGTTAGGTACCCACATTAGGCACAAACATTAGAGAATGAACTACTATACAAAAAGAGAGAACATATATGATTTAAGTCAAATCCACACATTATATCTACTGGCAAATGAAAGGATGCAAAATAGGCCTAGAATTAGGTAGACAGTAGTAGGAGAAATGCAGTTATTATGGGCTTCTGTTCAGGTTGGCTACTGTAGCATAAAAAGTATGATTTGTAAGTCTAATATCTCCAGCAATAACTATGGAGATACATTGTAAGGCTTTTAATTCTTGTTTTTTCCTTTCATTTTTATTTTCCAGGCAAAAGACACGAGAGTATTTTTAAGCACATCCACTTACCGGTCTTCACATATAAGCATACTAACATAGAACGTGGGAAGGTGGAAGGAAAAAAAGCCAATAAGCAACAGTGTAAAGTAAGATTAGAACAAGAAATTAATTGAAAATAGACTGTTTATTTTTTACTATAAATAAACAATTTTTTAAATGAATATTGCAAAAATCAATGTGTTGTTATTATTCTTATATTCTACCCAGATGTTATGAGGTTAGAGATGAATTGATACTTACGGAAGGAGGCGGGGAATCATGACCGTGCCTTCTTAAGAGAGGGTCATCCTCGTACCTATAATCTTGGTTGTAGGCTACACTACTTGCTGCAAAACTAGGCTCTCTGAGAAAACAACCGCAACAAACATTCATATTTAATAAACGTTTGCTTTTCATCGGCTTCCCTACCCTCAGTATTACAAAAAATTTATTCTCTTTCAAATGATTTTAGCCTCCCATAGCTTTCCTCTCATTTCTTCTCTCACATCCTCCATGAAAAACCCTATCACACCGACCAGGGTTTGGAGTGCTAGTGGTCTAACCGGCTGGAAGTTTTTAGATACATTAACTCTGTATATGCTCTGTTGGTTTTACCCCACAAGATGTACAGTACTACTAATTTTACCTGTTGTAATCTGGGATAGTAGGTGATCCTAACCCTGAGCCACGTTGTGGTGACCTACGAGGCTCACCACGATGGCTGTAACGTTCCAGCGTAGCACTGGGATTTTCAGGAGGCAGGAACGGATCCTCTCTGTCCACTTCATAGTCAGCTTTCCTAAAAGATTCACAATCATTTGATTTTCAACTTCAGATTCGCAATGCCTATTGTAAATGACCAAAATATGCTTTCCTGCCGTTTATACTTTTGGAGAAGCTTAATCAAGAGCGCAGCTCATTACAGATCGTGGAACGTTAAAATGGCACCATGGTTTTTTTCTGCGAAATAAGTGCCTGGTGTTAAGATGTTTTGCTTTCCAAAATTAGGGTTGCGGGTACATATCACAAATATTCCAGAATTGCTTTTCACAACTCAACAAATTCCATCCCTTAAGAAATGAGTTTTAATCTGTTTTTTAGTTAGTTATTTCCTGAGAATGTATTATGTATACAATCTGACAATACTTCAATCATAGAGGAATTAGTTTCTAATTCCTCCGTGCTTAGGTACCATGTAAAGAATAACGAATCAAATTGCAGAGATTAAACTAATCATACATTAATTAAAGGTACACATATCAAAATAACATTTTAAAGGTATTATGTACAGATTAAAGAGGTTAAACAAAAATGACTATTATTGTGTAGATCAAATATTCCTATATGAACAATGACAATTCTTTAGAAGCATTTAAACCTGAGAATAAAGTTTTCAGTAATATTTGACTTTGATATTAAGGATTACCTCCTTGCTATGACTGGAACAGTACATGAGGATATGAATATGAGCACAGTGAAGAAAAGACCAGACAGTATGGAACTCAACATCATGAAGCTGATTCCAGTTCTAGATGAAGCAATACAAACAGGCTTATTACAATAATGATATAACGATAATGATAACAACACCATGAAAACATTTAATTAATAAGAAAATTACCATATAGATAAAATTTCAGAGTCAAGTTAAATTTAGATAATTTTAATATTTCCTATCAGTGGACAAGTTTCAAACAAAGGCAATGAGACAAAAAAAGCACTAGAGCTATTGGAAATTGCTACTGAAACGATTCAGCCATCATCCTAAGATAGAGAAAACAAATTATGTTGTTATGCTATGTGACATAGTCCTTTAACAAATGTTTCTTATCAGCTGTATAAAAAGTTCCTCTTTTTAGAATTGGTGCATTGCAAGTTTTTATTATTATTATTATTAGAATCTGCAATTTTTCAGTATTAAGGAAGGAACTAAATACCACTAAGCCTGAGGTATAATATAATACCAGTAGGTCAAATCTAGTTGAATACATCCCTCATACTATTTTCTTGAATAATTTATTAGTAATTACTAACTTCTTCGATAATTTCTCCCATAAATAATAAAAACTTCCTTTAAAAATCATAACAATCTAAATCATGATTTGATGAAATGACTCACATGGTATCATAGCACAGGGAATATAAGCCAATCACATAGTCATTATTCAATGTGTTGCAGTTGATGTTTGCTACTAAGCTCTGAAGCTGTATGCTGGTCGACTGGAATGTTTGGTTAAGTTTGTCCAAAGTATCCTATGGAGAGAAGAATATCCAAGGTCAAATGTCACCAAAGCAACATTTTCAATGCATCATTAGGGAGCTTTTGAGGTTTGCTACTAAGCTCTGCAACCTCTGGACGGATATAAGGATAGAGGTAGAAAGAAAACCACTTTCATAGACATACTTACGCAAGACACAGGAATGGAAAATGTGAAAGAGCTTCAAAATTGTATGATGGATAGAAACATCTGGAATGAGCATGTGCAGACATCAATGCGACCTGGCGGTCGGCGAAGGTAGGTAGGGTAGGTCAATTGGATGACGGATGGTAGCACCTACAGCAGAACATAATGACGTCACTAAGGTCATCTGCACATGCAAGAACGTTGAATTCTCATTGTTGTCTGAATTCTGGGACGTAATTTGGCCTAAATCTACTGTATATTGTGTAGGGTAAAGATGGTCACGGATAAATGAATTCATTTATCGTCGTTGTGCAAATCAAAAGCTGCCTGTTATATTTTGTGTTCCTGAATTTTTTTGTTAAAATAGATATAAAATTTTAATTCAAACAATTATCATCTAATAATCATTGCCATAATGCCACAACAATTTTATATCACTGTATAAAAAAATAAATGTTTTAAACTTATGAAAAATGTTTTTCACTGTTGTTTTCTATAATTGGACAAAGAAAATTGAATCTTCACCATCACCCCTCAACCTCCAAATCTGTGGATGCCATTGTCGTTGATGTCACATCATCATAATCACTACCTCTACCATCACGAATCTGTTACCCATTCTATTATAATTGACATTAACATCACCCATATATGTCATCATCTTATATCATAATCATCATCATCAACATCATCATCTTCATCTCCACCCTCTTTGCAATCATCATGAAAGGAAGATTTCAAAACGTTATAAAAATGATAACATTCTTGACAATATGCTGTATGAGCTGAATATGATCCTTGATTCATGCAAAAGGCATGATTCGTCCACGTTGTGATGAATATGCTACTGAAGGGGAAAGATTATCCAAAAAATTGATGAAGTAACCACATTCCTTATAGTTTTCATCTTGCAAAAACTCCCATGTAATTTCTGTGATTCATCATCATGCATCAGTTTCAAAGAGAGTGACAAGCAGATAGAGAATGATGCAACAGAGATTCTACCTCTTCTCCTACTTTACATCAACCTCCGTTAATGTATTCAATCTGACAACAGGCTCATGAATTATTCATAACCTGGTGCATAATACAAATCAACCGTGACATATAGACGAAGCCCAAGTAGGATAAGAGGTCTGTATGAAATCAACTCCATTTATAATTAAATTGTTAAAATCATATTCTCCATTATTAAAGATTATTTTCTTGGCAGAATAATAAATTATTAATATTAACCAAATGACAGGGCAGACAGATATCATATTTCTAATTACTGCAGCAAAGAGTAATATATTTATATTATATAATATGCTAATTAAATATTATACTGCTGAGTTAAAAGAGATGTTTTAAGAGGAAGGCCAACAAAATTATTTAAAAATTAGAATTTTGTGAATATAGCATAATGTCTTCATGCATTTTAAAATGAATAATATAAACAAAGGAGAGAATGTGCAGCCGATTTCTGAATTTTGGGGAACCATTTCAAGAATTCATATATGGGATATGATACAGTATGACATTATCAAATCCATATATGGTATGCGAGTGAATAGAGCAGTTTTTTTACAGTTTCAATATTTTAATCTGTCCTTCTTTGTGAATAGAAAGTCAGTCTTGAGCTACCATTTTTTTATTTTTATGTTCAAGCTGATAGAGCGATAAAATCTCCATAGTAATTTTATATTGGACAATAAATCTGAAATAACTATTAGTTTACAACCCCCGCACTGAAAATGGAATACTCTTTGTTGCAGTGGTATTTTATTGTCTTATCCTTTGTTTAAGCTTAAAGGTAGAAACTTGATTTTGGTCAGCATTTGGAATAGGCTATTGTTTACAAGGAAGGAAGGAACTCATTGATTTATTGATATCATTATTCATAGTAGAGAGTATAACGTTGTTTCTGGATGAAAATGACTAATACCTAACGTGGGAATAGACAAGCTAATGTATTCAAAAAATTGAATCATTCATCTATTTCAGATCTTTGGATTTTATCTTTGATAATTAGATTGTCACGATGTTTTGTATTTAATAATTTCTATTGAACCCAATCACAATACAGGCCTGTAGGCAGGGTATTCACTTTTTCTATCTGTTATTTCACTAAAATTGTTCACAATTATTGCAAAATGCATTGCATTTCATTTGAATTTTCACCAATTATGGATTTCAGAAATCAAATAAATACTGCTACCAAAACAGTACTTTGCTGGATGCCAATGGGTGCCCTAGCGAGTGAATTAATTCAACATTTTAGTTCGGTCATTTAATTAATTTTGTCGTAAGTGTATCTGTACACTTTAGCTAATAATGCCATCATTTTAACATGCATTTATAATAAGGATTCTCAAATTATATAGGCGTGTATTTTCTTATCTGAGATTAATCAGTGGACCTTTCTGTCTCATAATCATGTGGTTTAAAATCATTTCAAAAGTATTTAGCAAAAAAGTATAAAACCTTTTTAAAAACATTAAAAAAAAATTAGTAACCAATCAAAAAGCTTAACATTAAACATTTTTTGTTTGAACTTAATGCCTTTTGCTTGCTCCATTGTAATGTTTCTTATAATTTTTCTTAAGTTGACAGCAATCATCTCTTTAAAAGACAATTAAGATAAAGCTCTGACTTTTGTTTCTACATCTTCATATTATCTTATGCTATTTTTGTTTCTTTTCTAGTTGAAAAAAATATATGTTGTATATGCTTTAGTGAGTTTGAAGCATATGACCTTTGCTGATCATCAGTCTGCCACATAACACAATATTTATATAACTACTTTAAGTGCAATGTGAAATAATAATAATAAATAATAATAATATTTATTCGGCAAAGTAAAAAGTATACATACAATATTCTTGCCAGGAGTAAGTAATAGGCATAAGCCCAAACAGTAAACTGCTCTTACTCCATCATCAAATACAAAGACAATACAATATAAATATATACAAAAAAGTAAAAGTAAATTCAAAATAAATTGATTTAACTATAACAAAATGAAAAACAGAGATAATTAATAGTTATTATTATTAATATTTTGAGATCAAGTGTTTTGTGAGCTGGGCTTTAAATTCCGAAATGGATACATTGTTTAATTTCATTAGGAAGTAATGTGTACTGTTATTAGCTTGATGTTATATATTTATATTATATATAATATAACTATATTATGGTTATTAACTTTTATTTTGTTTCTGTTAACTTCATGCCAGAGGGCAATGTTATATTTTTGGATCAATAAAAAGTGCAGGAAATAAAATTTTAATTCTTTCCCGGACAGCCGGGTATGTATTCCATACTGGTGTTTTATGCAATGAATTGGAGTCATAATGTAAAGCACAGAGAGGCCTAGAAGTGCTAAAAAAAACATTAAGAAGCAAATTCATAGTTTGAACTGCACATGCCCGTATCCAATTCATTCAACTTCTAATGTGTATGTTTATGTCGACTGACCTTGATACAGGCATGCGCAGTTCACAATATGAAAAGGCCTATTATATTACTGTGACTCTCCACTGACTGTCATAGCAAATGTCACTGTTATCATCGTCATCAATATTTTTTTATTATTATAAGGCAAGGCTTTTTTTATACCTTGCTTAGCGAACTCGCCGACTACAAATATTGAAAATTTCAGAAAAAAATAAAAGTTTTCTTTATTTTTATTACGACCTCCACTGCCTTGAAAACTCCAAAGATATGTATATTTCTTCCTAATTATATAAATTTGAAGCATTTAAACATCCTATTTTACATTCACCAATAAAATTATATTTTTATTTTCTCCTCCGTTGGGATGTTTTTGGAAAAACAAATAAGAAAAATTTTTTTTATTTTTATTCCACCCTCCTCCGATTAACTTTAATATAATAAGTACGCGAAACAAGAATTTAAAAAAGTCTCGCCAAAGAGGCCTCAAAGAAATAGGCAAATGCAACAGTACAAATATTGAACCGACTGTCACAAAATAAAGATAATGATGTTTAGAACTATACTATGTATTGCATATACTTCATAACCCACACATACAGATGGTAAAATATGTATTTCTTTTGTCCTAACTGTCCCTGACTTGGTTACAGCGGAATGGGACATACTTTCTACACAAAGGAAGTCAAAAATTATAGGTCTGTGCTGTATCTTTGGTGAGGATGTGGATAATTCGACTGAAGACAGTTGAATTTCCTCGAACGAATATCATACATAGTCACGTGTATATATGAATTTCCAACTGTGTGATTAATTCCATCCTTTTGGAGCTCTGAATACTCTGGTGATAGCATTCAAAACTATTGAGTTTTGTCTTTTCAGCGAAAGCCAGACGCACAATGTGCTAACAGTTGTGGGTTGACGCGACTCCATAGAGAATGTATTGCGACAAGATGTATGTTATTTGTACAATCTTATATCAAACCTGTATGAATTTAAATTAATATTCATAAAATTTAAAATTTATATCACATCATAACCACATAAATTTAAACAAGTTTTCATTGTTGATCATTTGTGTAGGTATGACCATGTACTGTATATATGGACAGCATTATAGTGTAATTTGGTCATCTTCGATTTTCGACTGCAGAAATATAAACAAATCAAATTAAGTTATACTTACAGTTGCTTGTGGGTAAGCTATCTTTGTAATCTCTTTAATATCTTCTAGAGTTGTCTCTGCCAGAGCTTGTGCTTTTTGTGAATCTCTCAGAGTCTGAAAAAAATAGAGAGATAGAAAAACAATTAACTTTTAGCCTTACAATCTTATAGAAAACTAGACTTCTTAATAAGGTGATGCTTATTGGGAAAAAGTCACTTTACAGTACTAATAACCATGTAATATTTAAGTATTCCTAGAATCATTCATACACAATTGAGCCAGAAATCAAATTCAGAGGGTTTATAAATGACTGTTACTGACTGTAACAGTTAACAAAATCCTAGAATTTCAATAAAAAAAATACTAGTATTCTGCTGGTAAAATTTATCACAATGTCAATCATCTTTTCAAAGGAATTTGTTATATTAAACAATAAAGGGTTATCTCTCTAGAGTCAAAGCTCATCTGTAATAAATGTTTATCTATGCTTAGAGACATTCAGTATGGAAAGTAGATATTTTAAGTAGGTGATAGTGAATATCAGATTGGGGTTCTATATTACAGTAAATATACTGGTAGGATATGAGGAGGTTCAAATTTATGGGATGCTAGCCTCTAAAGTTCTATTTAGACTCCCTTTTTCTTGCCGCATATATTGCCATGATGTGCCTACATGAGGCTTGCCATCCCAAAACCAGCGTATTGTCGCTAATTGTTAAACTGAGAATTAGCATAAAAATGTGGCAATATCATATACTTTAATACAGAGAAGCCATAACACTTTTACTCATAATTTTAGCAAATATTAAGTCGATTCCAGTAAATGAACCATCATTTTAAAACTTATAATGTGGAGAATATGAATATATTAAAAAGCCAATTTTCTTATTTGGTCCCTGATGCTATTTTGGCATGGCAGGCACTATATATGGTCAGATGTGATGTCATCATGACCATATTTATGTATGTCAGATGTTTTTTATCAAATAAAATTTGATAGCATGAATGGGGCTTAAAAAATCAAGTAGTTTTAGGTTAAAATCATGTAGAACTTTAAGATTTTTTCCTTACAAATTCAAATATGTTCATTTCATCACCTTTATGTGACTAGTTTAAGCTAAACAAAAGGATTTGTTTCGCAAATTTTCCCTATCCTTGTTTTTATATTGTATATTTTTTCATGAGCCAAAGTACAAATACAATACAAAGTGTTGCAGAAATCCAACATCTAAGTTTAGCAATTAGTATGTGTTGTCTGTCTAGACCTGGATTAGGCTGTGTGATGGTCATTGTAAGGCAATACTTCTTATACATTGATAAACAAACTAATTCTGAAAGACCTAGAGAGTGTTGGAAAAAATTAAATTCTTTTCACAATTACCAAAATGGTAAGACATACAAAGCATTTTTAAAATTGACAAATAAAGAAATACAAGTGCATTAGGTAACAAAAGTAAAGAGGCCTGGCTCAAACCTATTCTTCAAAGAAAAATGATGTTGCAACGTAATCAAAAGTTAATTGGATTGATAAATGCAATAATTTTATTCAATTATGAGGGAAATATTTTTCCTGAGAGATGATGTTGCACCTCCACAGTTTAGAGGCCTATTTATTTACTTATTAGTTAATTATGGTGATTTATTTAGAGTAGCAATAACGTGGAACATTCAATATTCTTTATGCTCAAGGTTTACAAGTTATTTAGGTTAATGGTGAGAAATAATGCAATGTTTTTGCCATGGAGACAAGGACCTCAGGTAACACGCCAACACGTTGCAGTTCTACAGGTACACATCAACACTCAGGCTAATTAATAACAGAAAGTGACAATGGAAAAAGATATACAGGTCTTCTTTAATTTAAAGACCCCTCCAAGTAAAAAACCTTCTCCAATTAAAGACCATTTTAACAACGTCTTTTGTCTTTATTATTCTAATTACAGACCAAAGCTGGTTAGGACTATGGAAACTCCGTTCATTGAAGTAGTCCCTAATTGGAGGGAGACACGTATTTAAGTATGTTATCATTGTTCAATATCCATAGATATATTATGTCTAAGTCTATGTTATATAGAAAAAAACATTTCTATTTTATTATTGCGTAATAAATCTAATAACGACAGTAACGATGTCTAAATGTGATCGGTCTTCGGCTTGATGGTACAGCATAATGAGCCATTATTGCTTAGTGCAATTGCTCAGTGTGATTGCTTAGCCTGATTGCTCCGTGGGTTGAAGCCTCAATGCGCTACATTCGCTAGTTAGGGCAGTTCCCCAGAGGGTACATCTGCTGCCATTGTACTGCTTGATTGATTATTTAAATTACTATGGAATATTTCAAAGAAATTCTAGTATAGATTATGCTTATTACAGCTTATCCAACATTTTAATTATTATGATCTATCCTTCATTATTTGTATTACATCAGTTTCACCATTCTTATGATTGTCATTTTTTATAATTCATTATACACCTTTTTTTTTAAATGTTTTCAGTGTATTTTATAATGTAGCAATCTAAATAATACTGTTTCTAATGTTGGAAAAATTTCTTCTGGTTGTTAATAAGAATAGATTACAAATTTATTTTTAATAAACCAATAAAATCGAAGATGTACTTACAAAACGTCCAGTAAGTACATCTTCTGTTTTTTTGGTTCATTAAAAATAATTTTATAATCTAATATTGTTTATCCTTATAGTCATGATTGTCTATTGTTTGCTCATTTTTTATGTAAATATAATTTGCAATTCAGAACTTTTGGGTGCCATGTCTATGTTTTTAATAATTTCTTCTGAATAAATACATATAATTATGTATTTCAAAGAACAAAATCTTCCTGTAAATAACAAATTTATACAGATATTTGACTGCTTCTGTTTATTCCTATCTTTTGTTTCATCAGATGAGACTCATTATACCTTTGTTTATAGTCAATCACCGTTCACCCTTTTGTTCTTACCACTCTTTTATCCTATTTTTACATTCACCTGAACACCACTGTGTGGTCGAAAGCTTGTGATTAAATAAATTTGTTAGTCTGAAAAGTGTTGTTTGTCCTTCATTTATTGTTTACAGATATCAATTAATTAAATAATTATAAATTCTCTTGGTTTTGTGATGATTAGGTTAAGACCTGTACTTTCTTTTGTTTTTCTTTTGCTTTTCAATCTTTCGTTTTTGTTATAATTGTTTCCTCTTGGAATGACCAACCTTTGTTAAATGACTGTAATGAGTTTCCGTGAATAAATGAAACTGTTATTATTATTATTATTAAGCTGGTATAGGCTACAGTACTATTGCATGAAGTCAACAATGTCTATTTTTGTACTTACACTTCCATATGGGTTTTGAGAGTTGGGATAGCACGTCAAATAATATTCAACAATATCTGGAAAAAACCATGAATAAACATGAGCATCATTTATTGATTATACACCAACAATTAATCATGAATACACATTAGCATAGTAATTTATTTATGAGTATAAAACAAGGTATAAAAAAAGTCTTGCCATACTAAAAGTTTGTATACATTACCTTGATCTAGATTTGTGGTCTTATCGGTTTGTGACAAAACATACACACTGGGTTTGACACAGAAATCGCTAGCACCCTGCAATGAATCAAATTTAAATACTAAATTGACATTATGGGTACTAAATAAGCAGTTGTAGAAGTGGTGGCACATCGGTTGTGGTTTGGACTCTTAACCTTGAGGTCAGGGGTTCAAAACTCTTGCTGTGCAAGTCTATTGTGTCCTGGGGCAAGGCACTGTATCTATGTTTGTCTCTCTCTACCCAGGCCTATAAATGGGTACCTGGTAGGATGTTGTGGTACTGAATGATACTAATTTTGTGTCCTGACTACAGGCGCATGACTAGGAATACTCACCAGCAAGCAGAGAAGGTTGCACTTTGTGCTGGTTTGCCAATAAATATTTGGCATAATTATCATTAAATAATTAAAAATTCTATTACATAAAATGTTCATCAATTCTATACATTTTCTGCCTTGAAAGGAGGTATAATAAGGTAATCCATAACCGGCAGTGTAATTGAGCTGAATTGCATATGGGAATGGTTTGTGACTACTGTAGCAACCGAGAGGCACATATTACAATCATTCTCTAATGACAAATGCTGAAATGAACCAATATTAAGATATAGCTTTTGGAAGATGGAGATAAAATTAAAAATAACTTAATCATATTATTCATAATATTTCGATAAAATATAAACATGTTGCAAACCTCAAGAAATAATTATGGAATACAAGAGAAAATTTAAATGATTAATGCCTGGCTAATATATGCTCTTCCAAGATACCGTACAAGATACAAGATACTTTATTGTCCAAGTAGCAAGTGATACATGGAAATACTTTTCCCACAGGCAAGAACAGTACACATATTTTACATGTATGTGTATTTATTCATTATGTATTGGATTAGCAATGCAGAAATCTTCATCTATGTTCACACTCATTGTATACGTATTACTTTACGATGAATACATTATTCAAATGTTGAAGCGTGCAACACACACAAGCATCCCTGGATTACGCCAACAAAATATTGATTCATATTATGAGACAATCCCTTAACACAGAATTATCAGATAGTCAGATAGTAGTTTAGTGACATTTTTTTTGCATGGATTCTGTTTTTCTTACTCATCATATATAAAAAAATAATAATAAAAAATAATAGATTTGAAATTCAAAAAAAAAATCTTAGATTTGGATTCTGGTATCTTTACCTTTTTGTTATAGCCTTGATGCAAAGACAAACAATGTAAAAGGTGTGAACGTTAACAATAAGTAAGATTGATATTAAGAATTATGACTATATTTGTTACTTTCCTGAACTAAAATTACATTATAAAAAATGTTACTGTAAATTTCCATCATACAAAAAAAAATCTCCTTAAAATTCCCTTGAAAAATTTTCCATCAAAATCCCTAAAGATCATAGATTAAAGTAAATCTTATAAATCTAGTGACATTCTTTGGAAAAGGCAATGTGTTCTGTGGGATGCAGTTTTATGTTAATTTGCATAATAGAGCCACTGGGAATATGTTCTAGTTAATTTGCATAACAGAGCCCCTAGGAATATATTCCACAGACACATGCAAAATTACCTACTGTACATTCTCTGGAAAAATCTTCCATACTAATTTCCATAACAATTGGGAAAAATACAAATCATCTACATCTAAGAAACATGATTCAGATTAATTTGCATAATGATGCTCCTGAGATTATTTATGTAGCATTATATTCTTGGAATATAATGTATGCTTTTCTTATTCATGGTTGTTAAATTTACCTATAATTTTCCCATCAAACACCTAGACATATAAAATTAATCCCATGTTATTTTACGCTACTCCTTGCTGGTATGTTTAGAGGACTTGCTTCATTGAACATGAATTCACTCTCTATTATGAGGCCACTTCAGGGACCTTAATATTTGGTCATAGGGTTCTCCAGTTACAGAGATACCATTGTGTTAAAAGAGGAGATTTTTTGCAAAGCATGTTTTCAGACTTTTTAAAACGATCTTATTCCAGTTATTTAAATTTAAACTATAGTAAGACCAAAAACTCACTTTATGATGATATTTCACATTTATATTGATTTGATGACTTACTAATCTAGTCATATATCCATCTACTTTATGCTAGACAATTTGTTTTTGATTCAAAATTTTAGATACCTGTAATTCTTGTAATAATTATTGAATTATTTAAACAAAGACATTTAATATAAATTACTCATTTTTGGGATAAAAATGTTGGAGGAATAGGCCTACAATTAGCTTTTGAATTAGAAAGTGCATTTCAGTTATTATTGTCATTACATAAAAAAAATCAGGAAATGTTTAATAAATTTATCAAAACTGTGAATGATTTGAGAAACGTTTTAGTTCAGGAATGATGCAATTTTCCACAAGTCGCATCATAACAATAGAGATTACTGTACTACACACCATCTGATATTACTACAAGATGATGCTACCGCATTCAAGATTATTATACTTACATATACGATACCACTTGTCTAATTGTTGAGATTAGGATTCTAAAACCCAAAATTTTATTTTTAGAATTTCAGACAATTAATTTGACAATTTATGAAATATTTTATTATTTTATTGTCTTGCTCAATTTTTGGATGAAGATTGATAAATGAATAACCTAAATTTGACTGTTAAATTATTGATTTTGTCTGTTCATCATATGAACTAATAATAATAGTGTATTTTTTAGATAAGGATAGGTTTTGTAGATTCTATGTGATATTCCAAGATAATATTTCCATATTCAAAATATCAATACATACTGACATACGATACTACTAAACTAATTGTTGAGATTTAAGATTCTAGAACGAGAGCATGAATAGTTTAGACTAGATGTATAATACCTACTGCATGTGAAATGTCATGTGGATCAATCTGGGATGTTTGGCGAATGCTGACCTTTTTACCAACTATTTGTTTTATGTTGTTTTCGTTGTTGTTTGTTAATCCCACTAATCTTGGGTTAAATTTATGTCTCCATTTTTTTGGGGTTAAATTTTCATCTATTATTTTGGAATGATTAAATGAATATTGTAATATATTTTAACAATCGAGAGATCTGAAATATAATAATAAATTAAATATTTTTTTATGTATATTATAATTTATAATTAATTTATATGAGCACATTATTTAATTTCAATAATTTACTCATTACTTTTACTTGATAATATTCTATTTATACTTATGTAATTAAAATTGTCCAACTAAATAAATAAACTTTGACTTGATTGATTGATTATTATAATATTTTTTAACACATCACTTATGACAATATTTTTTTTTTTCTTTTTTTAAAATGTCCTCATAGGATTTTGTCAACTTCAGTTCCCTAAAATTTTCAACATGTTAAATTAGTTTTTAGAAAAAATAGAAATTATATTAATTAGATCTTGTATGTTTTTTCTATCCCAATTTTTCTTTTTTTGTAATTTAAAACTAAACTGTATTTTGTGGATTCTTCTGTCAGACTATCACCAGTGGGTAGGCGAGCACGACCGCATAAGAAGTTTTGTGCCTGCTCATGGAAAATTTGCTGAACAAACAAATTAAACTCAATTAAAACCCACTTCAATTTCTCTGCTTCCTGCCACTTCTCATCATGCCTCCCCTTTCACCCTGATCCCATGTTAATACCTCTAGACATACTAGTGCCCCTTACACTGCTGGGTTACCATGATTGGTGGTAAATGCATAACATACATTTTAAAGGATGATGACCTTAAAAGATTTTTATAATTATACAGGCTTCCTTTAGTTCTCTTTAATTTCATTTTGTTTTCTGTTCCTCTCTTTTCCCTCTCATCCGACAGCAATAACAGATCACAGGATGGAAGTCAGGTCATGTGAATCAACATGTTTTGCTACAAGGCTTGTGAAGGGGAGAAATATTTCTGTTAACAAAATCCTAAAAAGTGAAGTTAAAGTGCTGAATGTACATAGCCTCACGCAAGTCTGGAAAAAATACTTTTGTGCCTACGACCTATGTATGATCTTGATGAAATGCCTGCAGCACCAAATGTTACCTTTACACTATTATAGCTAAACAATAGTGCATAAATCAAATTTAATTACCGGTATGCATTAAATTGTGATGTGTTAAAAAAAAAAAAATTTTCTAAAATGCCTTCTGGGTAATGGTCAATGCCTCTGACCGCTGGTTGCAAGGTCAGGCACTTTTTCCAGCCCTGGCCTCACAGTTAACAACATTAATCATGGAATAAAACCAAAGGGTAGATTTTATTTTGGAAAACAAAATTTTTGTGATGCACAAGTACTGTACAGTGAAATTTGGATATTTGGACATCGGTTGGTCAGTTGTTTTTTAGCCTAATACTAGGTTGGCCGTGCAACCATTACTCAGCATATACATTCTGGTTAGTACATTTTTTGGGCAATCATAACCATATTGATTCCTTGTTTATTAATAGTTCTTGTTTTCTTAATTGTTTAGTTGTTCTGTATGTGAATTGTAGTGAAATAATGCAACAAAAAAATTACAAGCTACCAAGTACAGCTGATTAGATTCTTTAAGTCATAAATCTAAGAAGGATGTGAATGAAAACTTATGAGTCACTTGAACTTTGAACTTACCACTGTGATGAATATTTCAATCCCCATTCTACACCAAATCAAAATGATAAATATCAGGCAGACAACAGATACACTGCAATTTAAAAAGTACACAATAAAATTATAATAGTAATAAAAATATATATTTCAATTTAAATAACAAAAAAAAAATTTTCTTTATTTTTATTACACCCACCACTGCTTTGTACCTCCAAAATAAAGGTATGTATATTTCTTCCTCATTATACAAATTTAAAGCATTTAACCATCCCATTACTACACTGTTTACAATCAGCAATAAAATTATATTTTTATTGTCTCCTCTGGATGTTTTTGGCAAACTATTTGCTAAATAAGAAAACAAAATTTTATTTTTAATTTTTTTCCACCCTCCTCTGACATTTTTTTAAAAAGTTCTGGAAAGTAAAGCCTCGCCTTATGGCCAGGCACTTGTAGATGTCCAGAAATATCACTATTAAACTTAAATTTTAATTTATTTTTCTCTATTTGTTCTTTCATTTTGAGGAATTTGGAGATGGGAAGAAGTCAGGGCAGCCAGAGCTCCCCTTCACTAACCCTTGAAAATTAAAATAATAGGTTGATAAAAGTCCTTATAAAAGGGGTAATTTCAATTGATCAAACTACATGTAACTACTTTAACAGAGTACTTTTTTCCAAGAGTTTGCTTAAATGATAAGCCACCCGCCACTGGTTAGTGGATTTTAAGTACAGCTCCCTCTAATAGACCTTTCCAGAGTATCAATCAAACTTAACAACTGACTAATCAGAACAGCGCTAGGAATACGCGCGTGTTTCACAAACACACGTGTTGTCCCACAAACGCATGTGTTCGCGTATGTTTTAAGACTGTCGCCTTGTGGGACCTTAGTAACAATATCCAAGGGGCGGGGCTTAGCGGAAAGGTCCATTAAAGACCACTTCTGGGACCGGGGTTTCCATGGAGTTTAGTAGCTTTGGTCTCCAATTAGAATAATAAAGGTAAAAGAAATTAGTTAACTTGGGACCACAGAATAGTGGTCTTTAATTGGAGGTGGTCCTTATTTGGAGGGGTCTTTTATTGGAGGGAGACCTGTATCTGGAAAGTTATAGAGAACGCAATACCTGTGTTGAGCTCTAGAGACAAGTGATGCATATATTGCAATTATAAATTAATGTTATTTATGAGATCAAGGCATCGAACGCTTTTGAAATTCTGAACATTAATCGCTTTCCATTAACGTCAACTGAATTTTTCAGTTCCACATCTGATAATATAATTACTGTACATTTAGATTTATTCCTAAAAAACATTTTATCTAAGCCAGGATATCTTAAAGAGATAATATAACACTACTGTATAGTATGTAGAATATCATTTTAGTAGTAGACTACTGTAAGTACCAATCAAAATGTGATTGATATACATTTTTTAAAGAATGCTTTTAGTTGTAAATATTCCCAGTGTGCAATTTCATTTTGAATTCAACTTTTATTTGAATTAAACTCAATGCAAAATAAGAAAAATTAGGTTCACTTATTAACAAGCAATAACACCTAATGATTCCACCTCCAATCCCCTCTCCCCCACTCTTGGATTAAAGAATGTAAAACATTCATCTGTCAGACATTTGATTTGTATACCATACACGCAATGTATTTGTCATATATTTGAAGCAAGTATAATTACAGCCAGCTGTGTTTACTATTGCTTCTGTGCATCTGAACATACACAAATATCAATACTATGCTGCAAAAACCAAAACAATTGTCAAATTGATCCTCACACAAATCAATGTTGAAATACCAACGTCAGAATGTTTATTTTGAAAGTGAAGGGCTGTTTACGCAAACATGTATTTGGAGCTGCTGCTGTCTTCTTCAGTTTATTGACTGTATCGCTGTCCATAATATTGACGCTTGCTTGTGAGTCATTTCCGGCTTTAATTTTCACCCCTGCAATTTCTACTTCGCAACTTGGGAGGCCCTTTTTTGTTAAAAGATGTGTATAAGAGACAGGCCTACGATCATTGCAAAGCTCATTAAAATAACAATGACCTTCGTAGTGGTTCGTAGCTACGTTCCAAACGCTACCTACGAGCAGGCTACGAGTGGTTACGCGCAGATACGAAGCGATATTTCACGACTGTACTGTAGTCTGTATGACTGTAGCTTGGTCCTTGATTTGCTACTGTACAAAATTTAAATTAATTTTTGTTCATTCATCATTTAAACATGAGTGGATAGGGTTTCATTCCTGATGATGACATAATCAATGTCGAAATATTGAATCCTGACACGATGGCGTGCATTGTTTTAACAAGTTGGGACAGTAAACAAATTCTTGGTTCTTCTTGCAGTAATGACATCTAAAGCATTGCAGTGACAGTCATTTATTTATTAAAAATTTACACAAAAATAGTATTCTTTTGCAAGATGTACCAAAGTAAACATTCTATCAAAGCATTAGGAAGCTATATTCACCTACATCCTCATCTCTGTCATTCTGGAAATTTTGCAAGAATAAATTTCTTTCAACAAAAAAATATAACAATCCTATTCATTCAAGAAAAGTTTTTACATCTATTATTTTTCAATACCACATAAGATGTTATATTGTATTTTTCTCAACTGTGAGAATAAAGTTACATGTTTTACAAGTTGAGTACTCAACAAGAATTCTCTATAATGTCCTCTGTAATGTTATAAGACTGAATTACTATATATTCTTTGGAAAGTGAAATCAAAACTAGAAATTGAATGTTAACATGTGTGAGTTCCTGAACGATAATGACTAACAACAGAACACAATGGTCAGGATTTCAATGGATATAAAGCAAAACTTTTTTCCTTACTTCCTTATCGGTGCTGTGGTTTAGGTTCAATTATGAAAAAATGTTTTCACACAGTAACAAAACAACCATGCAAGTCCATACTGACCTTGTTGATGAAATAGTTGCTACAGAATAAATGTTAATGTATTTTCATATTAATATTAAGGTAAACATTTTTTTATTCCTTGTTTTGCAAAAACTCATTTTTTTAAAGACATCAGAGGAGGGAAAAAAAATAAAAACAAAATTTTGTTTAGTTATATAATATTGCTAAAAACATCCAGAAGGAGAAAATAAAATTAAAATTTTATTGTTGAATGTAAACAGTGTAGTAATGGGATGATTAAATGCTTTAAATTTATATAATTAGGAAGGAATATACATATCTTAACTTTGGAGATTTGAAGACAGCGGAGGGCTTATAAAAATAAAGAAAAACTTTTATTTTTGTCTGCAATTTCCATGTTTTCGTGGTGGCGGGTGCGCTAATTGGTCTAAAACAATAAAATTTTATTTTTATTCAAAATCATTATTACTGTATTTGCAGGAGGAGGGTTTGCTAAACAAGGTACAAAAAGAGTCTTGTCTAACTTGTTTAATAATCATATTTTACCTGTACATCTATAATCAATTAGTCGTACTTGTTACATACTGTAATTCTTGTTTAGCCTCAGTGTTAATTCAGGTGAACCACATTTCATATGGGTTAAAACCTCACATTATGAAAAATCCAATTTGGAAACTTCCTGTTCTGAACAAATAACTTCCTCGAATGTTGAGCATACAGGGGGTACTATAGGCCATTCTACCTTTGCAATGAAATATGTATGTAAAAGGTATCATTATAATCTGGTTTGATATATTTCCTTTCATAATTTCCAAGTAGCACAAACTTATTGCTATAAGTATTAACCTTTGAACCTAACCTTATTATCTACTAGACCATGCATTCACCTTTTGTCTGGATGTGGATGCTATGGGTGTGTGAGGGTGTGCTCAGAAGGATGATTATTTTTGTATAGAATGCATTTACACATAAAAACACCAAGTACTGTAGATAAATGCCAAAATGAATGCTACCTGTATAGGAGGTCTGAGTGTAATAAACACACACACACATATACAGAGGTCGCAGGTTCGAGTCCCGCCAGAGGCATTTTATTACACAATTTCTTTATTCATTTATTTATAGGACTATATTCATTGTGAGCTATGCTACACGATAATTATGTCCTTTATTCGAACACTATTTACCTTTCTTTGATATATATATATATATATATA